CACAACTGAAGTGTTAAGACTTGACATAACAGGGCTGTAAACAGGCAAGCACTTATTGGATTGTTGTTTGCAAGCTGACATCAGTAAGAGTACTTCATCTGGGTCAGTGGCAACCTTTACATCAGATAGTCCTTTAGCCCAAGCAGAAGAACCCACAAGCCACATGAAGGAGAACACCACTGTCACAACGAAGTCCTACGAAACCCAAATTGAACATTGCAGGTTCATGTTTGACAGGCAGGGAAAAGCATGGTAGGACATTGGTACAATGGGAAGGGATAAAAAAAGGCCAGAAGGACAGTTCCACTTGATAGCATACTCTCAGAATGCATAAATCCCATGTCTAAAAGTGTACACACATTTGCATTTTCCTACTTATGAAAATCATACATGTGTTCCTGATGTGGAAGCACAATACATGCTGGATGGAATGAGCCAGAACTTGGACCTAGTTCAATTCTCAGCCCAACAATCTTCAGAAAAAACAGGTGTTATTTGTCAGATGGTTATAAACAAACAGTCCCTTAGAAGATCAGTCAAGACAAGCAATGGGTGGAAACAACTTCTCCCACTCAAAAAAGATTGGCTTCTAGCCTGGACATGAGATGGGTGGGGGGAAAGAGATACAAGAATTTGAGCTTCAATATGACTATAAATAGGCCTTGCATATGATACCCAACAGACTTCTTCTTTTTTACTTCTTCTTTTTCCACTTCAGGTGTTGAGGGAGAAACAAGTTCTGGTTCTTGTACTTCTGGCAGTCTCAACCACTGTTATTCAATGCTACTATAGATGGAAAGAAGATATATTTCCATCTTCTTCTGGGACTGCCTCATTTCTTATGCCTTTTCCTCTTTTTGTATATGCCTTGTATGATATAGAATAGACTTCCCCAACCATTTCAGCTTTGTGGACCGATATGGGGGAGGGGATAGTTCCATGCAAGAAGTGGGCAAGCATGCATGTGCTCACTGCTCGCGCAAGTGGGGATGCACACTCAAAACTCAAGGAAATTGACAATTGTCTCTCAAATCAAACCTCATGTCCACTTCGTAAGAGATGGTAACAGGACAAAGTAATGGATTGGCATAGCATTGTGCCACAGGCAGACATGAAGGCCATCTTGAGTCACCCGGAAATGGCCAGGCTAAAGGCCCAGCAAGCTGCAATGGATAATATATCGCTACAGAAATTACAAGGAGATAGATACCCAGCAGATACTGGATACTTATTTAGCTTTTCTGCAATAAATCTACTGATCAGCAGTTTTGTGTCCTTGAGTTCCTTGTATCCGGTCTGGTTTGCCAAGAGAAGCCTGAATTTGATTGATGGTGATTCCCTTAGGTTACTATGTGGAGCACCTTCTCCAATCTGGTACTAGATCTGATAAGTGTACAGCTCTTGGCATTCTCAAGATACTTTGGCCAAGACGTCTAGAGAGCCATAAGTTGACAAAAACTTCTAAGCCAACTTATGAGATGTGAACCTCCACCTGCAGTCACACAAGAGAAAGATAAGTTGCCTTATCCTAAGACTGATAAGCTGCTTTCCATTCAATTTCATCAAAGCATTTCCCTGCCAATTCTATATGGAAAAGAGATTTGGAACAGCTGGATAGCAGCTATAAGATTAGCCTTCAATGGAACTAGCTAGGGGAACAGAGATGCCAGTAGGATCCTACTTTAATGTTGTGCAAAATATAGCATATTTTACCACTTTTAATGGTAAATTTTAATGGATTTTCTTTTCTCTGCATGGTCCAGCCATATCCAGGCTGCTTTCAAATTCTACCTTTTTTTTTTGCCAGTTTCTCAAGTCACACTAAATTTGCTTCTATCCCTGCCCCCCCCCATTTTCAGAGAACTATCCTGCTGTTGGCCAGATAGTAGAGAGGCAGAGTCCTGAGCTTCTTTACATGATTTCGTTCTGAGATTCCATTAAGTTGCAAATAAAAAAAATTCTCTTGGAAAATTACCATGGATAATGAGTTTGCACCCAATATACACCCAGTTAACCCCTATATCCAGATTAGAGCAAGGACACATGCCACTCAGTTCAGTTAGCAATAAAATATATCTTGATTTTTAATTATTGCACATCAAAAATAGTTAATTGGCAAAACAGGTGGGCAAAACAGAAGGACACAGAACTTTCCAATGCCACAGGAAATACTGTGGATAATTAACATGGACACACCCAAAGGGAGCGACTTTTGTTCATTTCTGCTTTAACCTTATAATGTTCCTAATTAATGACACCTAATTAATGACAGCCACACAAGTCTGGAAAGTAGGACATCAGGTGATCCCTCTATTCTGAACCACGAAAGAAGCAATTTGTTGGACTGGGATGAAGTATCCAACAAGTATCCCAAGTAGGTGTTGTTACCCAACTTGCTTATTCCCCAGAGTTTCTCAACCTTGGTCATTTTAAGACATGTGGAATTCAATTCCCAGAATTCACCAGCCCAGAAACACTGCACCAACCCTCAGAGATCAGGGTTATGTAATCCAGAGTATGCAAAAATATAAAATATTATATTTTACTGGATTCAAAATTTAGTTTTATCCTAAATTTAATTTACTCAACGTTCCCACATTTCGTGAAAGACAAAAACAGCCTCCCCCCTCACCTCGCCCCCAAATCTGGCAGGTTATTATTTTTTTTTTTCCTAAGAAAAATCTCCAAGGGCTGCAGGAAGTGTTATGCTAATGTTTCTGGAGGATGTGGAATCAAAACTGTAGAGACTTTTTTGCATTTTGGAGTGGAACATGAAGGCCAATTAAGTGCATTTGCATTTAGGCTTTCTTTCATCCAGGAAAGCATTCAGATGAAAATCACCTTGTTGCAATCAGGAGTATTATCTTTCTGTGTGTTCAGGAAAAAGTGGAGGGCAAATGTTGCTTTGGGTTTTTGTCTGGACACTAAAAAATGTGGCCTAGATTTGAGGGATGATGGACAGCTTCAGTTGAGGCCTGAAGACCAGATATATTTTTTTGGGGGGGGGGGGGTTAAGTACATGTTCCCATTTATGATATGAGTTACTCTTGAGTTTCTTAGAGCTGGGTGAATTGCGTAAATAACCTCCCATTTATAGCACTAATTATCAGTGCAGGCTTCCCTCAGAGACTACAAAAAACATAAAACTGATTTTTACAAGGCAGGATAACTCATCCAATTATTTTTTGTGGATTGCAGGCAATGAAAATGTCACCATTACAACTTTTCTCGTTTATTGTTACTGATGGTTTTCTATTTGTGGATTAGAAATGATGACAAAGGGATAAAAATGCAGTGATGTTAAATTTCTGTCACAACAGAATTATTTTTCCTGAGTAGAATGGTATCACCACAATGGCAAAGAGCAGAAGAATATGGGAACATTGGTTTGAGGTTAGTTGCCATGTATGATGTAGAAATGCCTTTCACATGTTAAGTTATGAGTAAATAATAATAATAATAATAATAATAATAATAATAATAATAATAATAATAATAATAATAATAATAATAATAATAATAATAATAATAATAATAATAAAGTTGGAAGGGACCTTGGAGGTCATCTAGTCCAACCCCCTGCTCAGGCAGGAAACCCTATACCATTTCAGACAAATGGCTGTCCAATCTCTTCTTAAACACTTCCAGTGTTGGAGCATTCACCGCTTCTGGAGGCAGGTTGTTCCACTGGTTAATTGTTCTAACTGTCAGGAAATTTCTCCTTAGTTCTAGGTTGCTTCTCTCCTTGATCAGTTTCCATCCATTGCTTCTTGTCCTGCCTTCAGGCACTTAATGCTCCTCTGTTGAAGGTTCAAATAAACTTGCAACAAATGACTTTTAAAATTAAAGATCCTGGAGATGGTACTACAGAGCCTGTTGGAATGAAGTTATATATACTCATTGCCCCTTTTGGATAGTAATTGGAGAGCCAATGTACATCTGCACACCCATAATACCAGCCAGACAACACTTCAGATTAATTTAAAGATATTTAAGCTCTCTTATTCATAGGTGTCTGCGTGCATTTACAATGTTGTAGGTCATAGTTATATAAATTATTCTTTGTTGCCTAAACCAAAAATGCCAGCACACATTCTCTATACTATAACACTTATAAATATAACCAAATGTGTTTGAGATAAAGCAATTCTGTAATAAATACAATCATGTCCATTTTGACAATATTCCTTCTCTTCTTTCAGATTTCTGTAATGCGGTCTGTTATTAAGACTTGCTTTTAGGCAATACTTAGCAAACTCCAAAGCTTTCATATTTCTTGATACCATTTTGGCTGATCCTAATGAAAGGGTTACCCAGTTGTGGATTTTGTTTTTTAATGGAACAACCTAAAAAATGTTACATGCTTTTTAAAAACCAAAGATATTTAACATATACATTTTTATAGGAACCAATTCTCAGATTTTCCTGAGTGGGACAAAGCAGATTGTAATCTAAGGAAATCAGTAGCACATTTTTTTAAAATTCAGTAAATCTTTGAAAAAAGCAGCATTTCAACTGTGTAGAAAAAAAATTATGTCTCCTCAGGATCTATAAAGTCATGGATGGAGATTTTAAAAAGATAAGATGTTGTATCTCTCATAGTCTCTCATAGTATTTGTAATATCTGTAGAAAGGGATAAATAGGAATATTTACTCTTCTTAAATGTTCATAACAAAGGTCTATAAAATCAGTGTATCTACATGAACTGCTGTCTGCACAGACAAATTATCACTAATAACAGTTCTCAGATTTTTTTAAAAATAATATCTGCTCAATTTATCTTGTCAACATCATTGGGCAATCTTTGTTTGCCTTCAAACTATTTCTGTACGATTCTCAATAACAGTCTCCAAATAAGACCAATTAGCACCAAATATCCCTCTAAATAACACTATCCAAAGAGTGTAAAATCTAAGTAGCAAATAGAAAAACCTATATATAAGATGACAATAGAATTCAAACTAACCCAGTGGAAGAGATAACTTAGACAGATGCATCAATTACAAGGACAAAGGTGTTAGTAGTGGCTGAATGCATACTTACAATCAAAGGACCTCTGTTGTTTTCGCGGTATTTGTTCTGGAAGAAAATGTAAACTACTGTGGCTGCCAAGGAATAGAGGAAGGCAAAGACGGCAATAGTCACAAAGAATTCCGCAGAAGAGGAAAAGTCGCCTATTAGTGAAAGTTTTTCTTGTCTGCCTTCACAGGTGGGAGCATCAAAATTCACCTGGTACAACCTAACATTGAGAAAAAGAAGAAAGTGAGTTGGAATCAGAATGCAGATTAGTCCTTTGGAAATCAATCAATCAGATTAGAGCTGGAAGAGACCTTGGAGGTCTTCTAGTCCAACCCCCTGCTTAAGTAGGAGTCCCTACACCATTTCAAACAAATGGTTGTCCAGTCTCTTCTTAAAAACCTGCAATGATGAAGCACCCACAACTTCTGAAGGCAAGCTGTTCCACTGGTTAATTGTCCTCACTGTTAGGAAGTTTCTCCTTAATTCCAGGTTGCTTTTTTCCTTGATTAGTTTCCATCCATTGTTTGGATACACTTTCTACGGTATTGAGGCAGATTCCACATGCACTTCAAATGTCCTTGATAGAATGGTGCCCTACCAAGTTTTATTCAAAAATTCTGTGAATCAGTATCTGCTACTTGCACACACACAGGGGACCTGGCTGTTTAGCCAACTACAGTACAATATTTTAAAGGCTACTTCAAAGACTGCACCTCTTTCCAAAGTTGAATGTAGCCAACCAACTGGTAAGAAGCTTTCAAAACACAAACATTGCCAGATATCATGTATGCCTCCACATGAATTTGGTTGTATATGGCTCATTGGATCATGGATTGCATAAATTGGAATGCACAATCATACCCAATCTTACATACACACAGGGCCCCATTCTACAATAAAAGGAAAAGGAGAACCATACAATGCCAAAGTTGGGGCATTTAGCCTCTAGTCTCTGTAGGAATCCTAACTAAAGCACTCCCGCGTTAACTATTTTGGAATGTATGCATTTCTTGCTAGCAAAAGTTGTTTGTATCTGCTTTGCATTGACTATCAGATGAACAATGTCTTGCATCACAATTTTAAATTTGTAGAGCCCAAGGAAGTAGGTAAGGTCCTTTGCAGTCTGAATTCTGCCATTCAAACCATGCTCCTCTTTGTTTCTTTGAATGGCAAGAGGTTGTTCTGTGTGATTATCAACATCTCTTTAGGGGATAGCATAATGCCTTCTGCTTTAAAAGAGGTGGTGGTGTGCCTTCTCTTGAATAGACCCTCCTTGGACATGGCTGTTTTTGATAGCTTTTGCATCTTGCATTTTGTTTCTAATCTTTCTGTCCTTGCATATATGATGGAGAATTAATGGAGACTGCAGATTAAAATCTGGATTCTTTACAGTCCAGATTAAGGCCTGGTTATGGGCAGAAACAGCCCTGGTTGCCTCTGGTCAAAACTCATCATGAATGTGTCCTGTTTGGTTGTATTAGATCTATTAGCAATTTAGGAAACTGTTCACCATGGTATACTTCTGGACAGACTGAAGGGTTTAAGAATTGGGGCATAGCAGTGGTTTTATAGTGGTTTTAGTCAGTGATCATAGAGGATCAGTATTCAAACATTTGGGAATTCCAATGTGGGGTGACTCAAGGCTCAATGTTTTCCCCATTTATATGCTGGGCATGCCAATTAGACAGATTGGGGTGAAATGTCTTCTGATGATATCCATTTATCTATCACCTTTGGGCTAAACTAGATAGGTGTATACAGTGTTTTGTAAAAAAAAAAAAAAGGTGCCGGAACTCACACATATCATACAACCTGCCTTGCCTACCCTACAAGGTTCCATCCAAAAAAGGTGTCGGAACTCCGTTCTAGGCGTTCTATTACAAAAAAATCCCTGGGTGTAGAAGACCCCAATTGGTGTCTAAACATTATAACTGGTGGTTAGATTTTTATGATATTATATTACATTATTTATATTTAGTTTAATTTTTTGTGTTGACTTTGTTGTATTCCTTCTGCTGCATTAACAGAGAGATAGAATCAAGATCATGTGAAGTGTTAATACCACTTTACGATGCCTTGGTAAGGCCACACTTGGAATACTGCATCCAATTTTGGTCACCACGATGTAAAAAAGATGTTGAAACTCTAGAAAGTGCAGAGAAGAGCAACAAAGATGATTAGGAGACTGGAGGCTACAATATATAAGGAACAGTTGCTGGAATTGGGTATATCTAGTTTAATGAAAAGAAGGACGAGGGGGGACATGATAGCAATGTTCCAATATCTCAGGGGCTGCCACAAAGAATAGGGAGTCAAGCTATTCTCCAAAGCACCTGAGGGCAGGACAAGAAGCAATGGATGGAAACTAATCAAGGAGAGAAGCAACCTAGAACTAAGGAGAAATTTCCTGACAGAACAATTAATCAGTGGAACAACCTGCCTCCAGAAGCTGTGAATGCTCCAACATTGGAAGTTCTTCAGAAGAGACTGGACAGCCATTTGTCTGAAGTGGTATAGGGTTTCCTGCCTGAGCAGGGAGTTGGACTAGATGACCACCACGGTCCCTTCCAAGTTGTATTATTATTATTATTATTATTATTATTATTATTATTATTATTATTATTATTATTATTATTATTATTATTATTATTATTATTATTATTATTATTACTACTACTACTACTATTATTATCCCAAAGTAGTTAGGATTGGGTTGGGTTATAAATTTTGTAAAACAGACACAAACAAATAAGTTCCTAGTTGATACTTAAACACTTCCAATACCTGGGTAACGTGTTCCCCTGTCAAGATACTATGACTGCTTTTTCAAACATTACAGTAGAAACTGCTTTTCTGTAACTTAAAACCATCATATCACATGTTGCACTCTGAAATGATAGAGTATAGTATCTGTTATTTGTGTGATAGTCTCAAAGGTTTCTGAGCCAAACATATTTGTCTCTGTGTTGCATTTGTCCTCTGTTTTGTACTTCACTAGGCACAAATGCTGGGATTTATTTACTTGCATTAGACAATATAAGGAAGTATGCAATTTGTGTATGTTGCTGTGCATGGCACCACTGCTGTTGGTTGTGGATATCACTCACCAGACCCTGCAAGCTTTTGAAATTTTTTGAGGCAATTTAGGATTGTTTACACTTCCAAAGAATCATCCCACTCTTTTCTACAGCAAGCAAGACCTCTACAGATAATATTTCATTAAGACCTGGATTCAAAGACACCCTCTATATACTACTAAAACTTTTGTGTCTTTAACCTTTAACTAGGCAAAATGGTACACTGTAGAGCAGGGGTGTCAAATTCACAATATCACGTGACTTGTCGCGACATATCACAACTTTTTCTCCATTGCCAGCAATGGGGTAGGCGCGGTCTAGGCATGATGCATCCAGCCCATGGGCCGGCAGTTTGACACCCCTGCTGTAGAGTAACAATTTTGAACCAAAGTACCTCAAATGGACTAACTTACAGAATGTGTCCAAAATCCAGAACCTATGATTCCTCTAGAATTGAAATTTGGAAAATGTTATAAAACATTTTGTGATATAAAAATGATCCTAAAACATTTTATGATGTAATACAAAATATCATAAAACATTTTCTGTGGTCAACTCCTGATGCTTGAGTGCGCTATGCAGTTCCACACGCACTGTTTTTAAGACAGATATATCTCCCTGAATTTTTAAGAACTTTTTCCAGTGAAGACAGCACATTAGAAACTCTGCTGTTGTGAAGCCTTATTTAACAAGCTTTTATGTCAGCATAAAATTATATATTCAGGAATCTGGTAAAGATGTATCTCTGAAATAGTGACCCAATGGGACATGAATTGTGTAGTACTGTTCTCAGAACCACTGTACTGTAGCTGAATTAAACAAAACTCTTTATGGCTTATTATAATGTATGAATCTAGCTGGAAGATTTCACTAACTTACCATTATTTCTCCATAAAAGCAAGAAACAGAAGAGTTCAGCAGAACAAGACTCAGCCACAAACACAATTCACTAAAGATATTTATTCCCTGTATCCATCTCATATTTCAGTTTAAATCCATTTAGTTCTCAGGACTCTCTATATCTCTAAATATAGTGTATGTGTTTGTGTGTGCGTGTATTTCTCTGTGTGTATACACATACACACACATGTTTATATGTGTATATTTGTATATGTATATAATGTGCATGTATATGAGTATATTCAGAACTCTATGTGCCTTTTTTATCCTATCAAATAATGCCCCTGCTATTTATTCCCTAATGTTATTAAAAATAGATTATTTGCACAGATAGCTTTTTGATTGATTTAAGAAATTATTTTATTTGCTACACCATTTATTGTTTTTCACTGCTGTGCTTTATTGCCAATCATCTTGAGGGTGCCATGGCAATTGAAGAAATGACGTGCAGAGATGATTGATGGAGGGATCATGTACCACCAACTCATTGTTGACTCTTTGCGACCACATAGACAACACAGAGCTGCAATTAAAGGTAGCACCACTGGAATTACTTTGATGGTTGCTATTACTCCTTCCCTAAGCAAATTGTAAGTCCATGAAGATTCTTGGTTTTTTTAAAGTCTTAGAAATGAAGGAGCAGATGAAGGATAAAAGAGAGAGTCATCCAGCACTTTGGTGACACAAATTACCAAAAAGGAGCTGAAGCAATAGTAGCCCTGAATCATCTGGGGAACATTTTTAGCATCAAGAGTAAGTACTGTGTCGTTCTAAAGGTCACAGGAAATTGCTGCTCTGAATATGTAATTTTCTGCTGACATAAAGGCTTGTTAAATAGGACTGCTTCCTCCATATGCAATCCTGTGTAGCTTTTTTTTTGCTATTACCTCGCTATTTAGATCCACGTGAAATTTCAAACAGCTGTCACTCCAACCACCTTATGAATTTGAGTTGGTTATTAGGCTGCTATTTTGAGTTGGTCCAATTCACTGTTTTATTCTCTACAGCAGCTACTGAGCGGAGGGCGGCACATGTGTAAATTGACACATAGCTTTATTCAGATAGCTGAAAAACGTTTGAGAGAAGTGACTGAATTTAGTTTACTATAATACATATGCCACTCAATCTTAACAAAAGCAAGCAAGGCACCATTAGAAAGAAACCATTATACAGGTACATAACAAAACAGATCAACAGCTACCACATCTAATGCACAGTGGGATGATCCCTCTCACCAGCAATC